TCAAAAAGTTGTGCTCCTCCATCCCTGCAGTGGGACTAAACGTAAAGTCACGATTCCTTTGAGAAAATCTCCCAGGCTGAATGCCTTAAAAATTGTTGACAAAACACCTTCTCCAATCTCCCGCTGTCCAAGATAACAAAGGCAAAACACAGTAGAGCAAATCATCTTCTAATGCTGCGTACTGCACGCAATATCCTGTACACCTGCACATGGAGAGGCATGCTGCATGCTGATGAGGCACTGTCCTTCCAGAAAGGGGCAGGCTAGCCAAAATAACACATTCCTAACCTTTCCTTTGCCAAGATGTATAAGTAACTCTATGTTTTAACCCCGCCAATGGGTGAAACAGACAGACAGGCATTGAGACTGGAGTCAACTTAGTAAGCCTCAGAGGGAAGCTGTAAGAAATGGGTGGGGGAAGGCAGCAATTAGGCAATCAAGGGTTAACATTTAAGTCAAAAATTTACAGTCCCCAATCCTTTTTCATGGACAATTGGTGCTTGAGTGTGTTAGCCCTTGACAGGATAACTACTACACATGTACTAGTATTTCTTACTACTCATCCCAAAGTGTCCAGCGACTGAAGACATGTACAGGAAGTAACTGTCACTCACTAGCTGCCTGGGGAAAAAGAACTGATCCATGAGAATGGACAGTGACAGTTTCCTGGACACACCTTTTAATCACAGCCCTGCCAACTGAAGGTGTACAGAGGAGGTTTGATGGCTTCCTTGGATGTTCCAACTACAGTATTGAACACCATATGTACCTTTAGTAGAACTGGACATGCTTTATTGACAGAAACACACCTGTATACAGGAGGATGCACATTACCAGTAGTCTGCAGAATACATGTTTTGTACATATGATGATTGTCAGCTAAAACTTTGGTTTGACAGGAAAATCAAATGTTGAGAGCTGAGATTTCAGCTGTGGCTTCTAATCTGTGTGGTTTCTAATTTTTGGTACATCACTTTCTTATAGATATAGCTGTCAAGAGGTAGTGTATAGTCAGGACTGCCCAAATGGCTATAGGCTACTCCAAAAGGCTAACCCTAGTTATGAAGACACTAAAATATGTACCTCATGTCAAGAACATTACTAGTATATAATGTTCTCATTCATGTTGACCAATGCCTGGCTGGAGCACCTGAAAGTGGACTGACAAGGTCTAACAAACTGTCAACATGGAAGTGCTCTTCCCTTGCTTACTAAATAACATATCTTTATACATGACTGATGGTCAACCTACCTCAGGCTACCTGGCATGGTCTTTGTTTTGTCAGTATAGCCTTTACTTCCACATATATGTATTGGCTATTGGCAGAGCTGCTGTATTACTGCACAGCATTTAGTGAAGTCTTTAAGAGCAACCACCCTTGGTAGCATGGCCAAGTCAAGTCAGTTAAATGTCCAGTCAACCACACAGCCTGGTAACCAAGGTTATGACCATCCTACCCACGTGTTAGCTGTCAGCGCAAACTGTCAAATGTGCCTGGCAGTCTTGGGGCTCTTACCAATGCCCCCTCCCATTTATACACCACTGGGTTATGATCTAGGGTTTGGTCATGAGTTAACCCTTGGATGAGGAACTTAAGGCAGCTTAATTACATGAAGGCTGACATCTTGACGAGTTTTCAGAACAAAGTGTTTGATTCCTATCAAGGACATGCCTTCCTCTGAACGTAGATGTCCTTAATAACGTCAGCTTTAACATTTAAGTCTTGATGACCCTTAGCACGCAGAAACTTTGCCTGGGGGCTTTCATGATGTCATGGTTGACCTTTGATCTGCCTCTCCCGAGTCATGTGCTGATTGTCAGTGATAATGACAGGTAGGATGAACACCTGAGGCATCTGCCCTTTTGTTTCTCTACTGACTTTCTCAATTCCGACTGTTTCAGATATTGGTTATATTGTTTGTGTTGAGATGTTATCATCAGACTTTACCTACCCAGAATTTTTAAGATGACACAGCTTCAAGAAGAGTGTACACCATCTGGTGTTTCATTGCAGCAAGTCAACAGAAAAATATGTATAAAGTTTTCTGGTATCAGTTAGATAATATGACATTTGGGCTGTGGGCCAAAATTCTTTTGTACAGTCTGACAAGATAATTGAGCACTCCTCTACCAAGATTAGTAGTCATGGCACAAACCACACCTCTGCATACACATTAATCTTACAGACTCACAGAAGTCTCAAGTGACATCTTGGACATTTGTGACTTGAAAGAGAATTTTATCATTTGGTGTAAACAACAAGTCATATTATCCATCATGTAGTAGTATGATCTGAAAGTACATTATCTGTGATATTAGATTACTCAAATTTTTACCCATGCCAGCCATCACACCAACATAAGGACATACATAGCCAAGGTCAAGACCATTCCTCTTGATTACAGCTACTTTTGACCGTGAGTGACCCTCGATGATATCAGCAAGAGATGCTAAAGACATTCTTGTCTATATTTGTTTACAGACAACCTTGTACATTGTTGTACAGCTGGACATGATTTTGCATTCCGATAAGGATTGTATTGCCGTGTTTTTGTTTCAGAAAGAGTTAGTCGGCATACATTGCCTCAAGTATTGTTGCGGCATTCCCTGCATTCCCCTCACCTGTTTATACCACACAGGATTGTTCTCCTATCACCTACATTATCTTACATTCTGCTGCATCCAAGTCTTCCTTCAGTGATGCTTGTTTATCTTATCAACATTCTAGGTATGAGTCATGTTGTGTTGCCATAGTTTTCAAGTTTGAAATGTGTTGCATTCATGCATCTGATTATGTTTTTAGAAAAATAGCTAAAATCTGGTGAGCAGTGTGAGAAGAAACTGGTTTTCTGGTAACTACACAAATGCTACCGGGGTAGGACATGTATGTTGGAGTTGATTCCTCATCACACCAGCCAGCACACAAGTTGATCTGAGTTGATGGTGTGGTATTCACTAGGATTATCCTCCATGATAAGAGCAAGAGTCTACCCCCTACGCTGGATAATATGCAGACATTGGACGTCACACCCTTGTGAAGCCACGCCTTACAACGACCTAAATTATTTTAGTTTATGATAGTTTATGATATATATAATATACAAGTAGAAGGTAAACTGGTCTTGCACATAAAATCAACATACAAGAACATGTTGTATCCTCTCTGTCTGGGCAAGACCTACTAACTCAAACCCAGCAGTCCCATTGATGGAAAATACAGATGACAATTCTACCCAGCACTGCAGTAATTGTACTAATTAATTCCCTCGGTGGCTGTGACAAGTTCAGCAACCTTCTCATGATGAATACTTTCAATTAGCTACTATGTTTACTGTTACTATATTTACCTTGAACGCAACAAAGAGCCTTCACAAGAAGGAGATAGCATCTTTAAGGGCAGTACCAAACTGACAGATTGAGATGGGACTGGTATTTTGTACCTTAGTCCCTTCTGCTTCACTTTGTACAGTTGGTAGAGTACATGTGAAGTGAAACCTTTCCAGTTTATTTCTAGTTATAGTCTTCACAATAAACAACTTTAGTTTAGCTGACACAGGTATCTGCTGACATGCTTACAAGTAATCAAATCCATTTGACATTCAACTAAAGACCTTAATGTTTATTCAGTGAACATGATACTTGTTCACACTAAGTCAAGGTATTCTGTCCCTAAGCCTCGTGTCTTGAACATCTGACCAGACAATAAGGCTAACAATCCTCTCAAAGTTATTTTAGCAGTAAGAAGTGACTCATTTGGGATGAGCTGAAAGGAATGGCAATTTTTCTTCTTACATTTGACCTTAAACAACAATGCCTTCATCTCTCATGGGAAGGGCTGATCAAAAACATACCAAGTATAACTCTTTTGTAAAATTTAGCCCATTCCCTTACTCAGTAATATCCATTTATTCATGGCTCTAGAGACTTTTGAAACTAACATGACGTACTGGACAATGCACTGAAGGAGAGGGAATGGAAGAGTACTACTGAGGGAAACATATGTACATGTGTACTAGTACCGGTATGTCCCATGCCTGTGAACCTGTGAATAGCACCTGTCTTTTTGTTGGTGCTTCACCGTATGCAAATATCTACCGAGCATGACTCTGAAGGGTTGGGTCACCACAGGCTTTTTACCTGTCACACCTGTGATCTTCCTGTGCTTTTACATCAAGCATGTGTGCATCACATATTTCTTGTCAGAGAGAAAGTTGGGAATTTCACAACGTAATGTTACAAATAGAAGGAAATGGCATCTATCTAACTTGCTTTGCTATTGCTTGATTGAGAGTATAAACTGCCATTCGTGTCCATGATGTCTTGGCCCAGGCATCAAGCTGCAAACTCTTTTTAGGAACAGACTTGAGCTGAATGTGAATCAGAGGTACGGAAAATTGTTTTTTTCTTTGTTGTGCCTCTTCATACAACAGTGGCATACTTGTCTTCACCACAAGCCACACTGTGAGGTCACCTTGGACAAGTGGATATGTTGGTATGTAGTCAACAATGGGTGTAGTTTCCCATGTAGACACATCTTTCAGATGTTTCTAAGGGTGACCACTGCAAACATCAGAGGAAGTCTCTCTCATTAGAGCAAGAAAACAACGCTGGACACATACATGCCAACACATGAAAAATCACATTAGCAGGCATTCCTTCCGCTTGAAATGGAAATGTTCTATGTGGGACTGGCTCTTTTCTCCTCCATAATTCCACAGCAATTCTGTCATACATACCACCAAAGTCAGATGTAAAAAGACTGTTGGGTCATAATAATGTTTAGCATTTTTTTCCAAGGAAGTGAAGGTCAGATTTTGACAAGAAATTGACAAGGAACACCTGTAACTTGCTAACCTGTATAAACTTCTGAAGATGCCAGCAGTATCATTAAAGCTATGAAGAACAAGGAAAACTGACAGACTGCACATTATATATACTGCTGCTGACTCTATAGGTCAACATTAGTGATACAAGATTGTTTGATCACCCCATCACTCACCTTGTAAAACAATGCCACTGCTCTGTATGGTGTATACAAAACTGGAGAAGGGCGCAATCGGGGACTTAGCAACCATCACCTACAGAGGAAAAGTGGGAACAAAAAATAACATTACACCGGATGACACCTTGACCTAACATCAGTCAATATGAAAGTTGAATGATAACATTTGTAGGAATATTTACAGATGTGAATGTGCTCAGTGAAGTGGGGAATAAATTGTAGATATCTTTATATTTGAAGTGAAAGTCATGAACAGATCATATCATACATGTACATGCATACCACACTGATGTTTTAATTTTATCGTTGCTTCAAGACCTAAAATTCAATCATTTTGACAGTCAACCTTGATCCTGCATCTAAAATTAGCCATTGATTCAAGGCTATCTAGGAAAGGGACCCCACCAATGGTAAAGAAAGTTACTCAGTCATTTGACAGGGTCATTAATTGTGTGTGAAGCACAGTACCTGTACTTGATATACCTCCCAAGTATGCCATCTGATAAGGAGGGAGGCAGGAAGTGAGTGATGCAGGGTTATGGCAGGGGACATGCATGTAATAGTAGAGCATGCTCAAGAACAGGAAAACATCATTATGTCTTTGACTGCTTCCTGATTTATGACCACTCATCGTAGAGACAAAGGTTGTAAAAGGTGTCCTTCAGGCTCAGGGGCAGTGACCGAGGGTGTGCATACACCTTTCAGTATAACCTTAGGGGAAATGGACCACACAAATGAGTTGACAGAGTTTTATCCTTGATCTGGTATGAGGTTACTTATTGGAACTGTAAAATTTACACAGCCAACTGACACTGCTTACACCAGCAGTTTTCTTGAATCCTCCAACATCAGTGCAGTGCAACATGACCTCAACTAACAGTGAGGCAGTGGCACAATTGTACCTTGAACATTGAACCAAGTATTGCAAAAAAAGGCATGCTATAAAGTCACAATAAAGGCTATATAAGTTTCTACATTTCATTATTCTCAAAAATATTAGGTTTCTGATATTATAAAGTAAGCTATGTAAGTAATGTATGAAGGCATGTAGCTGTACTTGGCCATATGTTAGCTAGAGACCTAAGTCCAAATACGGACACAAAACAGGCTCCACATAACCAAATATGGGTATATGCCCTTAGGTAAACTGAGGGCAACAATGATTTGGTTTCACATTTCTGGCTTGATACCAAATGCAGTGGACAATGGAAGCAAAGGTGAGCATTGGAAATGTAGGTGTGGCAATATTGCAGCATGATCTTGTACTAACTGTTAAGTGTCATGGCATACAATGGCATACATGTACTATAAAAAGAATGTTCACCCTTGTGTATACTTCCTCTTACTGCTTGTTTCAGTACATAAATCATGACAATAACTGAATGTCACAACACAAGTTATGATCAGTTACTAAACCCTGTCCAGCTTCAATGTCATCACAATTTCTGTAAAAAGGGATAACTGCCTACAAATTTGATGAAGTGGTGTGGCATGCAAGGAAACACCTGTGCTATGAGCCTTTCAAAGCTCCCCCACTGCCAATAATGGTAACTACTGATCCTTCAAACTTGACCTCTCTGCAGGCATGCTACCAGAAGTGTCATACATGGTCTATTGGAGGAATGTGTGGCGAGACATTTTGTAGAAATATAGCTGGAGACAGAGGAGGAGGTACAAGGTAGAGTTGAGGAGAGGGACTGTTAAGAAAGTTGATACAAGAGACAGTAAATGAGTCAGGAATAGAGACCAGCAGATAAAGCCAACATATGAAATGAACATTGGGGAAAATCATAAGACGGCCATAGCAACAAATCTAGCCACTCTTTCTTGCCAGCAATTTTCACAGTCAAACTTTCAGGGCCAGTTATGATGACAGCATCCTTCTCTCATATGTGGAGACCCTGAGGGACTTGGACTCATGGTCACCATCAGATAGCACTTACAACTGTACTGACAGGTTACACTTGGGCAGACGGTGGCCACAGAAACTTGAGACCCAGCTAAACAGTTCTTTTCCTTACAAGACTGATGAGACAACAACATTATTCAGATTGAAGGAAACAGCTTCATCAGTGCCAGGAGCTGTGGGGTGGGGCAGGCTGCAGGGTCATTACCGTGTCTAGACGGATCAGGGCAGGCACCACTCATGGACAGCCTTCAGGCAGGTCAACGAACTGCCATTCTAGAATACAAAGGGAGGGAGCTCAAGTATTGTTTTCCAAACATCACCTGCCTGTAGGCTATTGTAATTTTGATGCAGCCAACAGACACAAGTGTGTGATTTGCTTATGGAAGCAATATGTATATTGGCATGTTGGCAAATATTTGTTGGAATGCATATAGCACGTGACATTTGCTATTATATTATATACAAACTTTAAATAAACGTGTGATCATTTATGATGATGATGATGATAAATTTGAGCATTATGAAATTATACATAATGACTTACAGTTATCTGTTAATTCTGTGTTGATCCTACTCCTCCAATATTCATTACCACCTGTTTCTACCATTATGTTGTTATAATTAAGACACAACATAACAGAGAATATTCCTAATCAATTGAGGGTTGCCAAGGGGGAACATACTATGTTGATATGTAATAGCTTGTGAGTCCTGGATCAATTCTGCTTGATCAGAGTAAAACATTTCTTTTTTTTACAGTGTCAATGCATTAACAGGTTTTTTCTTCAAGCAAATGTTTACCAAGCAAGATACATCAATTTCTTCTCATCAGTTTCCCAAACAAACTCAAACATGCTGGTCTGGAATCCTGCACTTCAAACTTGTTTTGCAAAGTTTCCTCATTATTCCCCATTATATGGAGTGCTGTCGTAGAAGGAAGCAGCAAGACAGGAGGCAAACAACAACTGATCACAGAACTGTCTCTTCACTAATTATGCCCACTCCTGAAGTTCTACTTCACTAAACAGAATAAACACGGGATGACAAAATCTCTTGATTAACAACTTGCTCATGTAAGGTTTCTGGCTGGCTGTCAGCCCCAGCTGTATGGCCTGGGCCCATGCCAACAGCCCGGCTATAACATCCATCACTAGCCCTGACACATCACATTCTACTACCTTCATCCTAGATTATGGTGTTGTTCTAGTCCACTGCCTTGTAAAAACATACTCATAGTCAGAAGATTAAAACCATATCCAATTAATCCCAAGTTATTCTACAGTTTCAAGTTTTTTTTTCCTTCATCATCCATCTACTGCATAGAAATCAAGATTAGTCTCAGTCCCAAACCTAACAGGATGCATATCACCATTCATGGCCTTCAACCTTGCATCTTTCATCCCTGTCCTGATCTACTTCCCTGCCCAGCACTTGCTTGGTCCAGTGCCATTTGTAAACAGGGTCTCCACTAGCAATCTGTGTTATCTTGCCACCAATCCCCCAGCTCCCCTGCCTGTCAGCCACCCCAGGCCCAATTTGGGGTCCATGTTTTGAAGTTCAAGTGCAATGACCTAAGAGTAACACAGCTGCTGCCCTGTAGCTGACACACTTGTCCCCTAATGACGGAAAGAGCATCTCATGTTCCAGCCATCAGCAGTGTGTCCAACCTTGCCTTTATTTTATCAAAGCTCCTTTCTTTCTACTATCAAATACAGCCATTTATAAACAAAAGCTCATGAGCAAAAGGGTTGGTTTCATAAGTTTTGTGTCTTAATAAAAGTACATTCTGGAGTTTCCTCAGTTTGTATGCCTGTTTCTTCTGAGACAAGTCATGGCAAAGGACTTTTTGAAATGGCAAAGGACTTTTCAAAATGAAGACCAGAAGAGGATTTTGAATATCTAATATCACATAATGCAAAACTACTGCTTAAAAGCAGATGTTAATATTCCCAGTCACCAATAATGTAATGCTGGCTTACTAGTTACTAGAAAATGGCAATTGTTAAAATCATTGCAGACGGCATTCAGGTGCAAAATTATCATCTCTTGTAGACTACTGCTGACTAAGTATCTTGTGACTAACCTATCTTGTGAAAAGTAAAGTAAAACGTGCCTCTCAGGAATGCCTCCATCTATAGGTATGACATGTTAGTGCAGTTATCCTATTAACAAGTTAAAATGAGTGACATTGACATAAGTGGGCATTTATTCAGCCCAGCTGCAGAAGTGTACAGGATACAGGCTTTCCCACGCCTGTCCATATCAGTTTGGTGTTTGCTTAATGAAAACTTAAACTCAGGAAATACAGGCAAACCATTCTCTCACAGCTGAAATGTTCACAAGCCCTGACCACAAAACAGTCATGTTATATTAGTATTTATTACACACCAGTCCTTTTCTTTCAGTTGTGTAGTAACCAGACATTTGGCAGTGCAATGGCAGATTTAGAAATTTATCTAATGTGAAAGGTGTAAGAGTCCTGTAACCTGTACTGTAGTTGCTGTTAGATGCCCGCAGTGCTCCATTCGAATGGTAAAAGTAAGTTGCTAGGTCTCTTGTTACTTATTGTAATATATATGTTTGTTACATGTTTATATGTTATTTGACATACTCTATCAGTGGAGGACTGAACAATCAACTCAGGATTGTCTTACATTGTATCTGAGGAAGCCGGTTATGAGTTGTGGCAATTGTAACCTAAGCTATGTTGAAAGTATGATACCATTTCCGGTTGCAGGTCCCCCACATATGGAAAGTTTGTACAAGAGGGAGTGGCGGCGGTGTTTTGGCACACCTGTGTCACTATAGGAACATAGTCATTTCACTAACAGGAAGGCAAAACAATGACAACACTACACAAATATTATAACAGTGATGCACTGTCATAGCAGCAACACTTCATTGGTAGTATGCACTTTCAGAAAGCCACAGCAGGGCATAAAGGCACTTTCTTAGTAGTGCTGTGACAAGACCACAATACCGTATTGTTTGTTCATGTACTTTTCTCCCGAACTTGAAAGGCAGGTGACAGGCAATCTTGTCTACATCATCTTCAACACGACTGGAGATTTTTGCCTCTCCGATCTTCCAAAGCTGGTGGAAGGCTGGATGATGCTCAACCTATCATTTTAGTTTACCAATGCAGTGCATATTTGCATTTTACAGCACAAAAGGTTTTCTTCTAGCCTGTGAAACCCAAGCTCCGGGGGGTCCGCCACCCAAGATGGCGGACTACTAGGGAGCTGGCGAAAAGCGAGGTTCAGTCAGGCTAGTTTTCTTCCATCTTATAAAAGTAGAAATGCTGAGTAGCATTTCTTGTTATTATCCACACAAGTCTGGCAAGTGAGGTTACCCTACCTCACATTACCTGTACTCTGTGGTAGGGAGTGGCAGAATTCAGGCAGTACATCAGCAAATGTAACAAATAAAAGTCCAAGTTGCTCCATGGCATGCCCCTACCTCCCTGTACTTGTCATCCAGGTACTGCACAATGAGGCGGGTATTCACACTGTGGCTCCAGGTGTTCCCCAGGGCAGCTGTCACATAGCCACCATCTACAGCTGCAGACGCACCTGAAATAAAGGAGGAATAACAGCTTTATCAAGAAGAGAGGTGATAAGATATCCTATAGTAAAACATGCATTTGTTATACTGTCTGGGTAATCACATGAACTGTGAGAGAAAAAACTAACCAGCACCGTTTCCTGCATCAATGTCACCAGACAGCACATGAGGACCTTCCCAGGATGCCTTGAATCGTGTGGTGATTTGATTGGTCACAATAATCTGTGGAAGACAGTTAAAGTCAAGAATCTTTCAGTTTACATTTTTCTTTTCAACGACTCTATGTGTAGCCATTTCCACTTTTTCTGTCCAGCTAAGTGGCTGTTACAGTCAAAAAGTATAAACTGGCATTATACAATGTCTAGCCAGACACCACAACTCACTTACTCTTTAAGTTTCTAAGTTAATGGTAAAGCCAAGGAGGTTTAAAAAGAATCCTCCTTGGTAAAGCCTTTCAGTGTAATGCTTGACATAACTGCTTCTTCCATTTATTTATACTTGGGCAGGGGGACAAATTGAATGTCATGGTAACTTTTAGCTGTGTCCCTTTTTTTGACTAGTCAGGAATCTGGTACAAATGCCAGTACTAACTTGTGGGGTCAAACACTTGAGGTTTGCTATCCATACTAATTGTGGTACTTAACTGTTATCATTGAGCACTACTTTTGTGATGGCAAGGAAATATACATGAACATTCCTCTTCCTAGAAAAAATAGTGTGTCGCTGTGAAAAGCTACAAAGTGTAATTGTAACTGTTGGAGAGGCAACATTCCTTGGACTAAAAGGATTTAGTCAATCTCTTCTACCTTTCCTGGAACCAACTGCGAGTCTTAAAAATCTCAATAAGCCTAGATGTATCTGTAAGGCAATGTCAATTCATTTACGTTTGGTTTTCAGACATAAAAGGAAACTGGTCAACAGTAATGAAGGTGTGTCACTGCTTCATATTGAATCGGATGTCATAAGTAGCTGCCAGGAAGTAGATGCATCTGTATCAGTACGTGTCATCTTCCCAAGCTCTCACATTAACTTCCTGCCCTTAGCTTCAAAAGTTTCTCAAAATAAGCGACGGTCATGTAAAAACACATTTATCATTTGAGGGCAATGACAAGTCTTGCAAAACTAGCAAGGACAAACTGTGTTGTTTAAGATAGTCATAGAAAAATATTTGTAAGAGGTCCAAGAAGTCTGATGTAGACTACGTGTGTAGGTGCACGTAACCATGGCTTTTCAATCTGCAAACTAAACTTTCTCTGAGTACTTTACACCATGGCAATAATCACACTCAGGATCACACAGACATCAGTTTGGTTCATAACCATTATCCAATGTGTGCCTATATTCTGTCTTATACAAACAGTCCAAATGGCCCAGTCAGCATCTTGAGCCATCCCAGCCAACAGGTTGAACTGATTTGTCTGCTGCTTCTACTAACCAGCCATGACCAATCATCTTAATTACCTCACATTACTGTCTGATCAGCAACATGTTTGACTAATCAGTCAAACTTCCTCAGTCCTTCTTAGAGTGTGAGAGCTCTGAAGTTTCTTTAGTGTAATAGTTGAAGTAGTACACACGTGAAGACTTACAAGTCCAATTCTTTCTCACTATCAATATACTCAGCCAAAGGTGAGACATGGAGTATTGAAATCAAAGATCTGGACAATACATACTAACATAGCCACAGTGTCTCACCAGATATGACAGAACCCCACACATTGTGTGTTAATTCCATCCAAGCGGAAGTGGTTTATCACACACTGCAAGGACAAGTAAGTAGAACAACATCTACAACGTGATGTTCTTCATGTAAACAGATATACGACTGGGACAAAAGGGATGTGTGGAAGTGGCATATCCTAAAGTATACTTTGAAGTTTTCACAAAGCAAGCTAGACTTCCTGACCTTTAGATTATCCGTGATGTAACTTGAATCTGTTTATTCTGTGAATGAGGCAGGTGTGTAGGATTTACCCACTACTGGTGATAGTGAACTCTACTGACTAATGCTTCCTTCCCCAAAGACCAAGTGCTTTGGAAAACAGCCTCATTAGTCTTACTGTCAGAAGTAAAATTATGTATACATACATAATACAGAAGTAAAAATAGCAGAAACTGATTTCCATCTGTCCAACATTAGATGACAAGTCTTCCACATACCCTCAATGAAGAGGACACTGTGTCATTCATTAGCCTCACAGAGTAAGGCCCAGGTATATCCCATCATCCATTATTCACTTCTCATTTCTGATAAAAGTTGTTTTCAGCCGTGGTTGGAAGTTGGTGTTACTCAGGGCTTGCTGGGTTGTGACTTGTTGATATTTAGACTTTTAAACAGGGTAAGAGAACTCAAATAGAAATTGTTGGGAAAACCCTACAGTGCAAATGGGTTGAAAGGTAATGACATAGAGAAGGGAGAATTCAAAACAATGCAGTGAATGGGGATGACCTGGAAATGTGGAACAAAAGTACCACAGTGAGCGTGGCAGAAACAACAACCATTCAGTCGGTGGGGTTAATGTGGGTCCTTCACCTGTGCAGGTTGGCAAATATAGGTGTTTGCTAAAAGGAAAATATTTAAAGTGTGGACAGAAACAAGTCAGTCTTTGATAAAAGCTGTTGAAGGTTTCTGCTGTGGTAACACACTTTCATAGAGAAACACATGATGCAAATGGGAAGGATGACTGCCACCCGGGTTCTCCTTTGGAGGAAACTTTCAAAAACAAACTTTGGTCACACCAATTTGATTTCTGTGTCCGTACATTAAAATACATGTGTATCAAACTTGCACCAAATGGAAGAATCAGATACATATGCTCTTATGGAAGAAAAATGATTCTATAGATATCTAAATACGTGTAAAATGCGAACTTCCTATGTATGGTGTGCCTCTTTTTATGATCACTTAAGGCAGTAACGCAGTCATGAGGGGATTAACTTGAAGACTTTCTTGTTGACTCAAGGTTTAATGGCATTGTGTTTATACTCTCTCTTTAGGCTACTTCAGGGAACTAAGTGACCCTTACTGCAGGTAATAATGAAGGAATGTAAGCCAACCTTACACTGGGTTTTAGAATCTCCTTGCAAAATAACAACCTTTGTGAGGCTTTACTTACACTTGAAGACTTTAGCAGTACCTGACCGGAAAGTCACAAATGTAATGCCAGAATGTTCTACACGCACTTCAACAGTGCCCTGCCAAGGGCCAATCACATAATTTGATGTACATGATGTACACATTGTTCTCATGCAATGTGAGATTGAACTTCAGTCATATGTATAGCATAGAGCTACAAAAATCTGACTGACAGATGAAGAGTGGGCGTTAAAGAAATCCACAGAGGAAACTGGGCCCACATAGCTGCAGAGTGCTCCAGGCTCCAGGCTTGACAGCCTGCCAAACACACAGGCCTTGCTGGTGCCAGGAAGTTTAGGTTCCTGGGTAAAGTAAGATAAATGTTTAATTATCAGCAGTGTAGAGGTTGTGAAGAAGCCATACTACCCACAACCCCCGATGATTGATTGGCAGACAAGGGCAGAGGAATGATGATAAAGTCTGCACCAACATTTCACCACAGTTTCCCCAGTTAACGCTCCACATGATTAAGATGCCAAGATCACTTTATAACAAGCATTACATGAAGACACCACTGGTGCTAACAATTCTGTTGCCAGGTTTAGTTGTTTGCCATCTCTTTACCATTGGACAGAACCTACAGAACCAGGCTCTAATTATAACTGGCACCTAATCCTCAACCTATTGTCTCCTGAATCAAGATTTCCCTTCATTACTTTGCTGACAATGTACATATGCCACCTGGTTGACATATGGTAATAAATAACAACCTGGTATTAAGAACAAAGAGACATACATATAAATAAAGGCAGGATGGAAAGAAAACAGAAAGAAAGCTGTTCCAAAATAGCATCTCAAGCATCATTTGTGATAAACTGGATGATACAGAAAATTAGCATGGAAACAGAAATTCAATACAACCAAAAAGATTCCTTTGCATGTTCTGTGGTTATACATAGGCATTAAATAACTGGAACTTTTTAACCCCATCATTGTCAACGAGTAAAGCCATAGTTTAACCTTAATTCGCTTAAGCTGTAATCCCTTCAAGGCATGAGATCTGATCCATCGGGTCTTAACGAAGCCCCGAGGCTGACCTCTACAATTAGGACACAGGCCCAGGAGATGAGAAAGCATAATCTGCACTTCCTTATTGTCATCTCTTTGGGGATTCTCTCTTAAATCAACTTACAGATGTAAGGTCTCATCTCAAACTGCCTGGGGTGTGACTCACTGGTTTACTTGAACAGATCTTGTGTTCTCAACAGTAAGGCATGATATAGCTGCAGATTTTGCTTGGAAAGCAGTCCTGAATTCTGCATCACTGTAGACACCCTGTTGCCAGACTACACACAATCTATCGGTAATGGATGTCAACTCTCCACAGTTCCACCCTCTCTACCCGGAGGCAGAATTTAAAAGGCTGGAAGGTCATGTGAGGTCCCTATGACACGAATATGATACTGTCACATCACAAAGCTGTGCTTGCCTTCCTGAACATGATACGTGCACATCACATGCAGCAGCCACCCACACAAACTTCTTCCAAGAAGTAAGCAGGTAACAGTTATCCTGTACCAAGGAACCTGGAAATGGGTGACTCTGGAGTAAATAATGAGATCATATAATTCCATTGACATTCCTGCCAGGGAAAGATAATGTTTTTACCTGTCAGCAATGTTTACATTGTCCATCAATCAAACAAATAAATACAACAGTTTTGTACAGGAATAATGTTTCAAATTTCAATGATGTCACTAATGGCATGGACCAAATCAATTGTGTTTGTGAATGTTTTAATTACTTGCTATTCAATGTGTATGTGAAAATGACTACAAATCCTGTGGCAAAAGAGATAATTGTGCAAAATCACTGTAAGTAATGAGACACATTTTCTTCATCAAGGACTTCTGTCAGGTTTCACAATCATACAAGAATGTTCATAGGAAGGCAAGCAGACATTAGTCTTGTTCAGCAGTTATTTTCCCTGACAGGGAAAGCTGGAAAGAGCTGCTGGTGGAAACCGCTGACTTGCCTGGCACCTCTCAAACCACAAGTCCCTGGATGACTCCTGGCAGGGTCCTGTTACCAGCCTGGGCAGAGGAACATCAGACATCAGGATCTGGGAAGGGTGAAGGGTGGGCAG